TTCTGCTTTTGTTCAAGCCACTACCTTTGTTCATGTTGTTTCTAGCCTGTAATGAGTATCTTCCCCAATCCTCAAATATCACCATTATTATTCTATTCATATTTCAAAACCCATTTCAAATTTCACACCCTTATTCAATCAGTCAACAATCACTACTGAGTCACTCACTACTCTGCACAACTCATTTGTGTAGCAGCTTTCTTTCAGTTCCATTGTATCTGGGTGCTGATGGCACAATGGGGAAACAAAGCAAACAAAGTTACTTTCTCCTGTTAGAGTTTACATTTTAGTGGGAGACCTGGTGAGAAACACACAAGCAAAAACCAAACATATAAACAAGAAAATATTGAAGTCCTCTGCAGGCTGTTAGAACAGGATGGCTATTTTCATTTGAAATGGCCTCTCTTAGATGGTGACTGAGATTTGAATAACAGGAAAGAAGGGACCAACCATTCAGAGTTTAGGGGGTAAAACATGCCAAAGAGAGGCCCAGCCATTGGGACAGGTACTCAGAGGGTATACAGTCAGCTTGTTTAGGCCAAAGCAAATGAAGCTTAGGGGCAAAGGGAGAGCAGTGGCAGAGAAATTTGGGGCTAGCTCATAGCTAAGCCAAGGTAGAGAGTTGAAATTTGATTCCAAGTGCAAGGAAGGAAAGCCAATGGAAGTTTTTAGGTAAGAGGGTGACAAGATAGAATTTGTGCTTGAACAAAATCCTTCTGGATGCTGTGTGAGCAACAGATTCAGGGGGTGGCAGTAAGAGTTGGGACCGGTAGGTACTTTCGTGGTAGTCCAGTTTTTCTTGAAGCATTTCAGTTTAAAGCAAACAAAAAGCAAAGTTTCCCATGCTTTTTAGACAAAAGATTAAAAGTCTTACTTGCACAGAAAAAGTCTTTTTTGCTTCCTGCTCTTGAGCCTTGCTGTTTTTCAGTTTCCCAAATGCACCTTTCTTTCAGGCTCTAGGACCTTTGGACTGACTTTGGTTATATATTATTTTCCCGTGTAGCAAAATACAAGTAACATAAAGTTTACCACTTTACCCATTTTAAAGTGTACAATTCAGTGGCATTAAGTGAACTCACAATCTTGTGCAACCATCACCACTCTCTAGCTCCAGAAATTATTCATCATTCCAAGAGGAAACCTGTACACATTGAACAGTGACTCCCTAGTCTTCTTTTCCTCTAGTCCCCAGAAACCACTAATCTGCTTTCTGACTATAGACTTGCCTGTTCTGGATCATTCATATGAAAAAAAAAAATACAATATGTGGCCATTCTGTCTGGCTTCTTTCACTTAGCATAAAGGTTCATCCATATTGTAGCATACATGGGTACTTCATTACTTATTTTTTTTTTCTTTTTTGCACCAGGGGATTGAACTTGGGACCTTGCACTTGTGAGGCAGGAGGCAGAACCACTGAGATAAGTCCCTGGCCCTTTATTGCTTCTTATAGCTAAATAACATTTCATTATATGGACACACAACACTTTGTTTATCCATTCGTCACTCAATGGACATTTATTTAGATTGTCTCTACTTTTTCATCTATTGTGAATAGTACAGATGTAAACATTCTCATTCAAGTTTTTGTGTAAATGCCTATTTCCAAATCTTGTGGTTATATGCCGTACCTGGGAATGGAATTGCTGGGTGATAGCTGCAGCAACATTTTGTTGAACTATAAATCAGTGAATCTATGATGTGTTCATTTTCTGTAGCTACTGTGACAAAACACCAGAGACCAGGCATATTAAAACTGTAGAAATTTATTCTCTCACAATTCTGGAGGTGAGGCATATGAAATAAAAGTGTTAATAGAGCTATGCTTCCTCTAAGATTCTGAGTTGACTTTTGCCTCGCTTCGTCCTGGCTTCTGGAGGTGACCACTGATCCTCGGTGTTCTCTGGCTTGCAGTTGCATCGCTCTGATCTCCTTTTTTTGTTGCCACATGACCTTTCCCCTGTGTAACTTTTCCTTCACTTTATCATCCTATTTGATTAAGGGTCCACCCTACTACAGTATAACCTCATTTTAACTTAAATAATTATATTCCACATTCTTTCTAAGTAAGGTCACATTCGGAGGTGCTGGGCCTAGGATTTCAATATATCTTTTGGAGGCACACAGTTCCTATCAGTGACTTCCTGATAGATATTATTGCACATCTGTATTCCCCTGGGGATCTTGTTAACATGGGCTTGGAAGCGGGCCTGACTTTCAACAAGTTCTCCCCTGGATGCCATTACTGCTAGTTCAGGGATAGGGTAACAAACATTTCTGTTTCTCCCAAACTTTTCAAGTTTCAGTAGTACAAATCTTGGATACAGACAAGTCCTTCAGTCCTTGGCAAACTGGGATGATTTGCCACCCTATATCAAAGCAACAGTTTGAGTAGTAAGCGTTTAATTTTGAGGTATTTCAATTTACCTATGAATTTTAATGAATATTTATATATCTTTAAATTAATGATTTATTTTTGCAAGAACAATTCAAGTTTTTGAGAATCTAGACATAATTAAATACTCCAAAAAAGCTCCAGAATAATTGTGAATTGCTGAGTTAATTTAAAGTGATGTGTGTCATCTGTGCATATCCTGAATCAACTCATCAAATTAATTGATGGTGCTTAGCAATGTTCCCGTTGGGATGAATATTGGGATTTCTGACCTCTTTACAGAGTAATTATACATGACCAAGACCTTTTAAGGCTAGGGGTATGGACTGGGATTGAAGTCTTAAGAATCCTTTCCTGCTGCTGCAACTGTAGGAATCAGCCTGGGAACTGTAAAAGTGAAGGAAAAAGCTCTTTTAAGAAGTTGGGCTTAAGTTCATCACAGTAGGAGCGATGGCCTCAACTTTTTACATTAGAACCACCTGAAGAGATTTAAAAACTGCTGCGGCCAGGTGTAGTGGAGCAGGACTGTACTACCAGATCTCTGGGAGACAGGCAGGGGGATTGCAGGTTTGTGCCCAGCCTGGGTAACTACCACATAGTGAGACCTTGTCTCAGAGGGGGGAAAAATAGGCCAAGGCTATAACAAATGACTCAAAACAGCTGGGACTGGGCACAGAGCTTTATATATTTTTAAAACTCTCCAGATGATGCAAATGAGCAACCAGTATTGAAGGTCACCATATAGCATCTCCCTGTGTAAAAAGACACCTCTCTCACTCTGCCCCAATATTCTTTCTTCTGCACCCATATTGCTCTCTACTCCGCTCTGGGCCCACATACCATTCCTCATTTCTTATGAGGGCCTCCTCTTTCTCATATTTGTGTTCTTGTACAGTGATTCACTGACCTGGAACTACGTTCAGCTCATTGGAGGTAATAATTACTCCTGCAACAACTGATCTTGGAAAGCTTTTGCCAAGCTGTCTTGAGTCGTTTTCACTCTTTCACAAAAAGTAGCTTTAACATCATTCACGACTGAGCCTGTGATAGTGTTTTGACTATAGATTCTCTCAGGAATCAAACTAAATCGCCCACAGAATCTATATTCAGTGTTTCTTTACTGGGAAATCCGGGTTGGAGTGTAGATTATTTTTATTGTGATATATAATTCACAAGCAATATAAGTCATTCTTTTAGGGGCTGGGGATTTAGCTCAGTGGCGCTGTGTCTGTCTGGTAAGGTCGAGGTCCTGAGTTCAATGTCTGGTACTGCAAAAAATAAATAAATAAATAAATAAATAAATAAATAAATAAATAAGTCATTCTTTTAAAGGATGCAATGCAGTGGTTTTTAGTATATTCAAAACAATGTGCAACCATCACTATTATCTAATTCTAAAACCGAACCCTCCAATAGTCACTTCATTCCTGTTCTTCTACCACCACATCTACTTTTTTCTGTATGGAATCATCTATTCTGGATGTCTTCTACAAACGGGTCATTTAATATGTGCTCTTTTGTGTCCTGCTTATTTTACTAAGCACATTTTCAAATTTCATCTATGTTGTAGCAGATGTTAGTAGTACTTCATTCCTTTTTATGAATACTTTTCCATTCTACGAATATACCATCCATTTGTCAATTGATGGATATTTGAGTTAATTCTACCTTGTCATTAGTATGAATGATTGTGCCATAAACATTCACTTAGAGTTTTCATGTGGACATGTGTGTGTTCGTTTGTTTGTTTTCTCTTGGTCAATGCCTAGGAGTGGAATTCTTATGGTCATTCTATATTCAACTTTTGGAAGAACTTTTCAAGTTGTTTCAAACATTATGGTTTTGACTCCTTTTTTGCAGCTCTTCATAGGCGTCAGATAGCCCGTACTCACTAGGTGGGACAAATGATTTTCGAGTACATTGAACATTTTTTTGTTATCTGTTAAACACTTTTGTATGCAGGAAGAATGTTGCAGAACCTCCTTTCATTTGGCCTCATCATTTCCAAATGTGAAGAAATCTAAAAAGCGGAGCTACTGGGGAACCTGTGGATACCCGTGGTGACGAAGAAGAGTTGGGGGTCTCTGGTTGAGCTCTCGCGTTCCTGACCATTCTTCCAGCCCTGTCATAGTTCCTGGCAAGGACATGACTACTGGGCTATTTCTGTTTAGAGAAGGCCCGCTGAGCGTCCACAAGCAGAAACATGACTGATTCTGGGGATATCCAAGACATCTCTGCAAAGCAGAAAGCTAAATGCCCGGGAGATCTGTGAGCGGTTTCCTGACCTCTGACACGGCCTCTACACATTCCAGTTCCCTCACCACCCCTCAACTCAGCAGGGGGTCTGAGCTTGCGCTGGATTGCTGACTGGCAGCTTTCCCAGCATGCGCAGTTGCTCCAGAGCTGCTCCTTCTGCGAGAGTCCCAGCGGGGCGCGCGC